GGGGAAGAATCAGTTTTGTTGTGCATTTCTTTGACTGATGAAGCCTTCTGGATCGAAGGCGAAACATTTCAGCACAAAAAAAAAAGAAACTAACCAGATGACCTGACTGAAAAATGTTGGATTTTATACCTGGATTATTGAGCATGGACTTTGTTGTTAAAAACAGGAAAATGTCTGCACTGGTTTTTCCCATGAACTTAGCAGTTGTTTGAAACCACTTAGAGAGGTCAAGGTCGAGAGCTTCAGATCTTTTTACAAGATATTCCAGGAAACAGGAGCGGAGTAGAAGAAGGCCTTTTTGCCTTGTTCAGCCCGCACTGAGGGAACACTGCAGGTAATAATGTCCTGAGAGTGCACGCTGTAGCTGCACTTAAACATTACATGTGCAAGATGTGACTAAAACCTCTACAGTTTTTATTTAAAACTAGACAAAGGAATAAAATACTCCAACCTCATCTTCAGCTGCAGATCATTCCAAGACCATGGGCCGAAATAGGACAAACTCATGTTTCCTGACTCTGTGCTCACAGAGGGAACCTTAACCACAGCCAGCTGAGACTGTGTTGTGTACTGAAATCAACCTGGATGCAAATAAAATGGTGCTAAAGCTGCACAAATCAGGTTAGTTAAACAATAAAAAAACAGGAATATGTTGGACAGACTGAGAAAAAGAGAGAGCCAAAACTTAATTCCATTTTATTTTATATTTTTTGTGATAAGGTTTAATGACTGCTACAGTTCAGATCTCAAGCTGCTCTGGAACCACTTTTCTCCTCTCTCCCGGTCAAGATCAAAGCCCCTTGGAGGCTGCTGTCACAGCTGGTGTGTGACCCTGAAGCCATGCCAACAGATATTTCAATATTTCAGCTCGAGTATATCACTCGTTCCTTTGCACCACATCTCTGCTGCCCATTCTGGTAATATGACATTGCCGAGGCACGTTCCTCATATCTAGAGAACGATGGGTTTATTTAATTAAGAACTCTGGAGCAAAAACTTTTAATCATACATTGTTTTAATCTGTTGGGCTGACATGCTCCTGATGTATGAACCCCACACAACATTTATTATATTAAAGGCTGGACAAAGATAAGTTTCTGGAGGCGAGGAAGGCTTGTTTTGGTTTTTGAATTTTGCTGTTATAGAGAAATGATTCTTGGACCTTTATCAGTATAATTCAAAAATATAATACAAAGACACAATATGTTTAATATCATGGTAAAAATGGCAGCTTCAGTTTGCTGTTTGAGTTCTGTTCTTAGCTTAATCTCTTTATATTTTCATAAAAGAAGTCCCCTTTTCTTCCCAGTGATTCAGAAGTCGTAGCTGCAGTTATCAGCTGAGGATGGACGTTTTCTGTAGCACTGCTCGCACAGAAGAAGAAGAACGAAGTAAAGGAAGAGAAATGAGATATGAAGCAAATGAATCCATGACTAACTAACAAGGAGACACTGTCAGAGCATTGTAAGTTTATTTGCAGCAGAGCTGAAAGATTCACAGACGAATCAGGCAATTAAATCACGCTTAGGTAAACAACAGTCAATTATATGGAACTTGTGTCAGGCTTTTTTAATTTTTATGCCTCCTTTTCTAGCCAAGTATGGCCAGCTCTTTGAATATATCCCGGGTCGATGACACTACTAAGAGAGCTTTTTCATGGGCGTCAGTGAGATTTTGGCTCGGCTCGCATCGTTTTCTAGCCCAGTGGCTGTTTACGACTGAAGGATTCGTCCACAGCA